TCCTCCAAAGTTCCTATAACTTCCACTCTATCAACCACTTCATCCCTCCTGGTAACAATTAGGTGCTGTGCAACTGTCCCTGTAAGGCCCAGACTCTCTCCCCATCAGATGATAAGAATGAACTTTTGAAAACTGGGTATTTCAAAAGGAATTCTTTATTGAAAAGGAAGATATCCAGGGGATGTTCAGAGCAGGGTCTAATATGACTCCAAGCATGCAGCTTAGATAAAGGGAGTTAGAACCCCTACCCTTAGTCCGGTGTGGATTTCGTCAATACAAAGAAGCAACATGTTAATTCCCTTCCCCCACTTTTTTATTGGAATGTAGTTGAGAAGAGCTTCCCAGGAAGCTTCTTTCAGAGCTGGAATTTTTATGGCCCCTTCTCCTCTTGCTATCTCTCCAAGAGGTGACGAGTTTCCAGGCATCTGGGCTCCAGTCCCCAGTTGTATATCATGTGCAAGTTGCACAGATTCAATACAAAAATTAAGATATTCAAGTTACATCAAAAAGGATTACTTGTATCAACCCCCCCCCCTTCTTCTTCCATTGAAGAATGGCAGATACACGGATCGGACAGTCCCTCTAGTTCACTTTTCCACCTTTAGCAAGACAAAGTTGTCAGCCGACACTTTAAAGTATTTGATCTCCCATTCGCTGTAGTGTTTATCTCCAAGTTGATGTTGGGGTAGTTGAAACCCCATGTTATGGTTTGTCGACTGCCAGTGGAGATGGCAGTTGAGTCAGATGAGTCAGAGGAGAAGGGGGAGGGTGTCTGGGTTACCATTGGAGATCTGAGGAATAGGAGGTCTCAAAGCCAGATGCAGAGCGGGACCTATGTACTCATGCTTAGGTGGAGAGACAGCTGTTCTCAGGGCCTAAGATGAGTCAGGGGGAGGAACAGCTGGGCCCTGTCCTAGATGCACATATGCGCAGAGAAGTGCAGAGAGGAGAGCATGCAGAACTGAGGGCCATCTATTCAGGAAAAGAAGGAGATGTTAGCAAGCCTCTCCCTGGGTGGGATATAATGGGACAGAACACCCCATCACCACATTGGTGTGTTCTCTGCACATACCAGCTAACTGATTACCAAAAAGTTTGTCTATTTCTTCCACTTGGTTGGGTGATCTGTAGTACCCACCTATGACAATGTCATTTATTTTTCTTCTGAAATTCACCAAAATACTTTAAAGAAGACTTTCCTCCTTGGTATTGTGTATTTTGCTGGCAATTCTTTAGATACAAAAGAACTCCTCCTCCTCTTTTGTCAGGTCTTCTTGTTTTGAACAATTTATAGCATTCTAGCAGTATGTTCTAATCATGGGTTCCATCCTACCAATTTTCAGTAAAGCAACACTATTTTACTTGTCCTCCTGAACTAGGACTTCAAGATCTCCCTGTTTGTTCTCCATACTTTGAGCTCTGTGTTTTCTTCCTCCATCTCTTGCTGTATCCCTAAGTGTCCCTTCTTTCTCATCAGTCTCTTCCTCATTGTCTGATTTGTTGTTTTGGGATTTATGCTTTGGGCTTGGTCCTAAACATTGTTCTCCTTCCCCTTTTAGTTTTATCTAAAGCCTTTTATATGAGCTGGCCAGTTGTTTTCCAAGCACATTGTTCCAAGTTTTTATTAGGTGCATCCCGTCTCTTACCAAAAAACTTTTCTGTGGTAATGTAAACCAAGGTCTAAAAATCCAAAGTTCTCTTGACAGCACATCCCTTGAGCCAGTGGTTTATGTCTAAAATTCTCTGCTGGGTATTGGGTGTTGACCTATGATTGACAGTATGAAAGAGAAGACGACCTGTGCCTCATATTGTTTTTTTTCCTGTTTAGTTGCTTTTAATCCATAGATACTGTTTCCAGACTCTTGGTTGTATTGGTCATCCTAACATGAAACAGGGTATTTTCTCTTCCAATCAAATAAGTTTGCACTTGGTGCAGATACAATTTGGGTCACCCAAGGGTAGGAATTTATATATGGCACTTCTATAACTCTGGTTTCAATAAAAATATTCTTGAAAATTACAATTCTGTTCAATACAAAAGAAAATCAGAGAAAAAGAGAATCATTTGATTGCTAGTGATAGTCAGTGTGGAAATAAGGGGAAATAAGACTTGTCCATATTGAATTGGATTTGAGCCCCAAGTCAAATTGGCCTTATGAATCAGTTTAAGCAGGAAGTGCTTTCTTATTCACTAGACTGAGATCTGAGCCTTTCTTTTGGATTATGTCATAATGAATTGAAAAGATTATTTAAAGCATAGCCTTATCCAAAAATAGGATTTAATTTAATTTAATAGGAGCAATAGGATTTAATTTTGTCAGAAGCATAAGACTGTATTTCAGCGGGCAGTATTCCCTGTGACATTCAGTTTCTTCCTTTTTAAACTGAAATATATACTATTTGGATCGGGCAAAACTATTTTCCTCATATATGAGAGAATAGACCTGAACAGAATTTCAAGTCTTTGCAAGTCTTTACTTACATTTATGTATTTATTCCTTATTACTTTTATATAATGTCATAATTCTTCACTATCTCTTTACTCTCCCTCATTCCTAAATAACTTTTTTTCTAAGGCAATTTGGTGCATCAAATTTTCTTATAGAGTACATCAGGGGATGTTTAATAACAATTATCATTGTTCCAGGTTAAAGTTCTGTTCTTTGTGCCAGATGGTATTCCTTTCATCTTGATCAGAATGGGCTTGCATGTTAGAACTATAATGGAAGTCTTGATCCCAATAACCAGATGCCAGGCAATAGCAGAAAACTATATGCAGATATTAAAAAGTTTTCATAATTGCTTCAAATGAATCTTGGGCCTGATGTTTTTAAAGAAATGGTTAGCATACATGTGCAACTGTTGTATAACATAATTAGTAAATTCTAACAATATTATGTGGTTCTCAGAAAGTGAAGACATTTGATTGAGTATATATATATATATATATATTATGAATGAAGGCAAATGAGTATATGAGTATATATTCTACATGACCTTGTGTACTTCTTCAAGTATATTTCTCTATAGAGCAGAAATATTTATACTTAGTTGTAACATTAAGAAAGGTAATTCACACCAAAACAGTTCCAAACATTTAAGCTATTTTACATGTTAAATATTTTAATCTGTGTCTCTTTAAGAAAAAGAAAAGAGCCAAAGTTTAGGGTCCATATTTTGAAATCTGAGTCAATTTTTCACTTTATCGCAGAATTTTTGTTTGATCTCCTGGCCAAAAGTTCATGCCTTAGCTCTCCTTAGAAAATTTGCTTTCTTCATCATTTATGGAACTTGGGGTGGACCAAAAAGAGCCCAGAGAAAAGAAGTTTATATTCTGTCATTTCTGAAATTCAGTACAAATGGGGAACATCAACAAATGAACAAATATACAAGTTTAATCAGCAAACATAATTTTAAGGAGATAAGTCTCTATTATTTTGCATAGGAATATAACTTTCTCCTCAAAATATTGGCCTGGGACAGGACTGGTGATTTAACTGCATAAAGAAAAGAAATTTAGTCCTTAACAGGAGCTGCCAGAAAGTGGCATTACAGACAAGATGTTTCAGTCTGACATTACAAGCAACTACCTGCTGTGTGTATCAAACTATGGTTGGACTTGCTATAAAACATTAATCATTTGTCAGAGATGCCTGTCTGCTGTCATTATCCAATGGTTTCTGGCAAAGATGAATTCAGGTTACATATTACAATAAGCATCCATTAAGGAAAAATAGTTTTACAGTGGGACCAATTATCCAAAGATATGGTAGGATCCTCTTAACTGAGTGTATCCAAGCAAATGTCAGCTTTGGAAGTCATATTGAGAGTCAATGCTCCCACGCTGTCACAAGCCTGAGAAAGTGGGAGGGGGGATTCAATTGAGTAGCTCTAAGTAGACAAAATAAAATTCTTTTGTTAGTTCAAGTTCATTGAGTATGGCGCAGAATGAAATAATAATCTTACTTGAGGACAGATTGTGATTGGGCAATGTGATGTGATGATGGCCAAGCGGGGATGGATTTGTAGTTTTGAATATTGCAAGGAAGCCTGTAAGCTTTCAGATTTGGGGTTCCACATATGTGCCAGTTTACTATCCAAATAAAGGTACCTTTGAGATATGTCTGTCTTGGAGTTACTGATCGGAATGGAGGTTTGCTGGAACACTGACAGCAAGGCTAGATGGCCAACCAGGATGCATTAATTTGGGCTCTTGTACCGAGCAGGTCATTGGATTCAATGGCCTGAATGGCACCTTTCAGCACTATGATTTTACAATTCCAAACAATACAGTGGACTTTCCACCAGTTTTATTTCTAAAAAATTACTCTAGAGCCAAAGCCTAGGTGCATTGTTGAAAATAAATATGTTGCTTTGGACTGGTGCTTTTATCTAGCATTTTTGTCTCCCATGAATATGACTATAATTAAAAAAAAAAACTAAATAAAATGAAATCAGGGAGGCACCATCCCTGGAAGGTGTCAGGGCAGATGACTGTTAGTATACTAATGCTAAACTGTAAATATTGGATCACAGATTTTAGGCCTTTTCTTTTCTTTGGACATGATAATTTCCTCTCTCTACTTTACCTTTTTTCTTATTGTTTGGACATCTTACACAAATATAGAGTTGAAAAAATATTTTAATAGTTAGGCATTTAAATTTCTACAGAAGCCATCTAAGACAAAATGGTACAAATAGGATCCATAGTTCCATCATAAATTACCTTTAATTCATATACAGGAAACATGGCAAATTTTCCAAGGAACCCTTTCAGTTCCCTATATTACATCAGTGGGAAAACATTAATTATCTGATAAAATTTCTGTACTAGATTACCTAGTATTACCTAGAGAGTAATAATTAATAATAAATTATATAATAATATTTCCACACTAGATTACCTAGTATTACCTAGAGTTCTTCTGAGATGAAGCTTAAAGGCACTGAAGAAAATAGGCGTTCAATAATCTCTTAATTTTGTTCTATTTTTTCTAAAGGTGGACAGTGTCACAAATCCTGTGGAAATCGATGCTGGGGACCTTCAGCAGATCAGTGCCAGAGTTGTAAGTATATTTGAATAAGAAATAATTTTAAAGTGAGAAGAAAACATTAAGACAAACAAAAAATCATGCTGTTGACTTATTGCTGAAATTTTTATCAAATAATTATGTTATGAAAGGTTTTTTTTTCCTCATTGACATAACCTTACTATGATATGGAAATAAGCAGTACAGTCCTTAAGTAGGAAAACAGACTGTGCCATAATTCAGACTTTAACCTTTTTTTTTTTTTAATAAGAAAGCAATGGAAATAAAAACTATCCCACAACCTTTCTACCTGCTTTTCAAGGAGTTTTACTAAAGTCAAACAGCCTGCTCAGGAATCATAGAAAATTCCCCACAACTAGAAAGTGCGCAGAAAGTAGAAAGATGTCAAAATAACGTGGTATTTGTACTAGATATTAGATATTATCTAGATATTATCTAGATTACCTAGATATTATCACATTGATTTTAAAGTCTGCACCATGAAAGTGTATACATGTATGATTGCTGACATATAGGAATCCGTCTTACTGGAATCACTGGAAATCCAAATCCTTAGTAACACGAATAACATAGCATCACTGAGATCTTCATGGTTACAGACACAAACAAGGGTGGGATTCTACTGGTTCGGACTGGTTCTATAGAACCAGTTGTTAAGATTCTGTGCAGTTTGGAGAACCGGCAAATCGTGCCCCTGGCTGCCCCTGCCCCTCTCTGCCCGCCCCTCCCCTCCCTGCCCAGTCTTTCTCTCTCTCTTTCTCTCCTTCTCTCTCTCCCCACTCCCTCTCTCTCTCACACACACACCTAAAAATTTAAGAAGAAAGGGGAGAAAAACTTGGCAGCATAGACAGAAACTTTGACCCTAACTCTGAGTTTTAATATAAAGAAATATCTTCTTGATACAAAGAAAAGAGTTGGCGAATGATTTACTCAGTGATCTCTATCCATCAGGATCTTGAAAAAGATTCCTAAATCACACACAAAAAAATAATTTCTGAATTAGTTCATTTTTCAAGACAATTGATAAATAGTAATATGGATAGTCCTTGACTTACAGCCACTTTTTTAGTGACCACTCAAAGTTACAACTAGTTATTTACAAGTTCTCACACTTACAACCAACACAGCATCCACATGGCCATAAGAGTAAAATTCAGGTACTTGGGCAACTGTCATGTATTTAAGATGATTGCAGCATCCCAGGATCACATGATCGACATTTGTAACCTTTCATTCCCCCATTGAATGTGTTGGCTTCTGGTGAGCAAAGTCAATGGGGGAGTTCATTTAATGACCACATTCATTTCTGGAGAGCAAACTATTCAATTGTCATACTTTTTGGTGGGGAAAAAATGGACCACTAATCATTTCAGATGATTTTGTAGAAGCATTTGTGAATTCAGTAATGAATTAGGAATACTTCCCAGCCTTGCATTTTAAATTGGAAAATGATTGAATGCATTTACAACATGTGTCTCCTTTTCTTTGAGATGAGTATTTCAGATCTCTGAAGTTGGAAACTAACCTGGCAATTTCCTGAAGGCCTTGTGGTGAAAATATGTATTTATTTGGTTATTTATTTATTTAGTATCCTATCAGTTCCTTAAAAGACAAGAATCTTATGGTTCTGAAGACCCCAAGTAGTTGAAAATGCTTAATCAAATTGATGGATGGATGGATAAATAATATGTAATATGAAAAAATAAAAGATTAACCAAAGAAAAAAATAATTACATATATTTCCATAAGATAAAGACAAGTGCATGTGAGCAAAAAACTGAACAACACCTCTAGATCAATTATGTGAAGTTAGCATTTTAACTAAAGAACATCTTTAATTAAAATCCTAGTGTTATACTAATAACTTTACATGTCCCTCTTATTGATTTCAGCTATTTTCCATTTCTATCCCTCTTGGTAGATTTATAATTCTATGTAATAGAGAATTAAAGGAAACATTTACAATGATTAATTACATGCAAATGTGTAACCAAACTAAGTAATCCAACTATTCTTACCACTTTCATAAATGTCCCTGGAAACCAGTGAGAAGGCAGGCCAAGAGGCATCAATTTCCATTGTCTTCTGTTCCCATGATGCTGGAGAACAGATAGATTTAAATACCAAATAAGTTATTTTTAGTAGTTATGATCTGACCCATTATGTGCATCAGCAGGGCTCCTGTGATTGTTGTGTGCTCATTAAAGCACAGGGACAACTCAACTAATTTATAAAAGAGAGGGATGCATGCATGTGTGTAAATATATAGAGAGAAAGAAAGCAATTCAGAGTAATGAGTTACTATGGAGTTGTTATTATTTCCATTTTAGGCACCACTTGACTCCAGAACAACTCTGGGCGACTCACAATATAACTGAGAAAATATGAATAAGGGGAAAACAGATAAATAAAGAACAAGTAAAAACAGAGAACAAAATTGTGAAATTTCCCAATTACCAGAAAGCATGTGCAAACACTTTATTCTTACATTCTAGGCACAAAGTATGCATAAGCAGGATCCAGGAAGCAAGAGAAGATTTGAGTGACGATTAAAAATATCAAAATACAGAAAGCAGATTTAGTTATTTTAGGAACACAAGGTATATTAGAGGAATAGTAATTCATTCTACCACAGAATGCTCCCATAAGAAATGCCAAAGCAGAATGCTGAAAGTGGCCTCAGTGAGTTTAGCATTATTATTATTGTGACAATTCTCAGATATTAACAAAACAGCCAAAAGAATCAAGACAGACCCTGATGTTGGTGATTTTTAAAAACTTGTTCTGGCCCAAAGGTTAGTCAAAATATGTAAATTACAGTAGTTAGTCATGCTAATGATCTATCTTAACGTTTTCAGACACTTCCACAGTGAGAAGAATTCTGCCAATTGATGCCAAGCAGCAAGGATTAAATAGGTGGAAGTCTTGCAAAGAAGATACGTGAAAAACTTAGGTATAGCCATTTTTAGGGATAGCCATTTTTATCTGAATTTCAAGAGAAGGAAAAGAGAACTTTCCAAGGATATTCTCAAAGTACTAACAAAGTCAAGATGGTGGCCACAATAGTATGATTGAAACTCTGCCTGTTTTATGTACTATACATGGCCATCATTTTGGCTGCAGACCCTGGGACTTCCTGTCGTATCTTAATTGCAAATGGGCAGGAATCAAAACCTGTTTCTTAATACAAATTCTTACAGAATAAGAGGAAATGATTCATGTCAATTCATTAATAAAAACATTAGTGAGAGTTTCTAAGAATGTTCCTAATTCTGTAATCTTGGAAACCTGAATACTAGGGATGGCAATAAATAGATTACAAAAAGTATGAAGTTTAACTCTGAATTTTGTTCAAAATATCCATTTCTGTGAGAGGAGTTATTTAAAAAGACTTGTTGCAGTTAAACATTATTATCTGTTATTGTATATGTCTTCCATTTTTAATATTTAAAATTGTATCAGTGTGAATGTAGCTAGTTTACTTCCCTCACTGTACCTTTATCTGTACCCTCATCTTTATAGTTATCGCAATGTCATAAGAGCCAATTACATATTTTGAATGTCATAAAACATGTAACTGAAATATACTTTTCTGGGATTTTATCTGATGTTAATCAATATCTAGTATAATGTATTAAACTATGTAACAAAAACGCTGATTGAATCACAGAAGAGATACAAGGTCTGCCCAGAGGATTTACAGCCTCTTTCTAGCCTTAAACTTGTTTGTCAAAAAGCAAGTTTTACTAAAACCATGCTTCTAAACAAATGTGCATAAAACTGAACACTGATTTTCACTTTATGTGTTGCAATGAATGTACAGAACAATCTGGTCACGGAGAGCTGAACTAAGTCTAGCCTTAGACCCTAGTTACACCAAACAAAACTCAGAACTAAATTGAAGTGTGGTCTATAATTATTAGCTTCTTTTTTTGAGGTTTTATGATTATACAGTCCTGGACAAAATTCTAAATTCAAGATGGGAGACAGAATAAAGAAAGACACTACTTAAACAAAAGGAAAGCTAATTCTGTTTACAAAAGATAAAGAAGTAAAATAACATACCAAACAGCCTACACTTAATTATCTGAACACAATTCTACAATAAAAAGTAAAAATGGATCATTTATAATTCACCAGTTTTACACTGAATGAAAGACAAGGTTGAAACCAACACAAAAACTGAGGAGAAATTTGGAATCATTTTATTCTTGAATACTTTATTTCTGGCTCAGTGTTAACAAATTGACAAATTATGATTTGGCTTGGACCTGAAGCATATCTTCCTGTCTCCCCAGTAATTTTTGCAAAAAATCTTCAGGGATATATTATTTGCTTTCACTTAATTAAAACTCTGGAATGCTCTACCTGATTCAGTTGTCTCAGCTACAAATTTTCACACTTTCAGTCACAAATTGACTTCTGTGGACCTTACTTTACACTTAAGTGGTCATTAGAGGGGGCGTGCATAAGTGCACTAACGTGCCTATCGTCCCCATCATTGTATTTTTATTCTCTTATTCTTGTTCTTGTTTTTGTTTGACCAATTCCAATAAATAAAATAGATCAGTTTAATACAAATTCAATTCAAATGTAACTGAATTCAGTTCAGATGTAATTCAATTCAGTTGAATTTTTAAAAAGGTTAGCTTGTTGCTAGTCTCTTATTTCCTTATCTGTGGTATTAGTAGAAGGGTGTCAAACTGACCTGTGAATCTGGCCCACGAGGTGCTTAGATCTGGCCCACAGGAGTGCCCTGGAAACAGTGAAGGCCTGTGGTGCATCTGCCCGCAAAAACAGAGCTTTTTGTTTTCGGCTGCAACTGCCTCCTGCAACCCTCTGCCAGGGAAAACAGCTCAGGATGGCTGTGCATGGCTGGCAGAGCGCTCGGGCCACCACAGGTGCCCCCAACATGAGTGATGTCAAGCTGGCCACGCCTACCCTGCCCACCTCCACCCGGCCCCCTGAGGTCAAACACAAAACTGATGCAGCTCTCAGTGAAATCGACTTTGACATTCCTGTGTTAGTATGTTTCTATCAGTATTAAAAACAATAATAGGATTTCTTATAAATGCATAATTGCAATTTAAATATCCAGAGAAATAACAGATCAAGAAACAAATAGATTATCATACTTTATTTTGAACCAATCTGCTTCTCATCCTGGAAACTTCAGATCTTGCTTGCTCTGGCTTAGGACTTTGACTCCAAATGCAGTAGCAATGGCAGAGAAGAGAACAGTTTGCAAGCAAGTGGCTTTCAACAATGTTTTAAATGAACTTTGTTTTTAATTTTCTTTTGTATATTGTTTGTCACTTTTTTAAAAGAAAAAATCAGAACTAAAAGTTGGAAAATGTTGGTCCATTCCCACAAGTGCCTGTATATTAGTGATTAGATTAGAAGATATTTAATACCTTCATTTCACCACCACCACTCTGTATGTAATATGGCAGTGTATAATTAAGGTAAATAAATGCATTTCATTATCATTTTAATGAACTTCTCCATGAGCTCCAGTGCTAATGATAAGCAGTTTGATTAGATCCCCATGTCTGCATTTTCTCCCACTTTACTTGAAAAGATATTTGCTTTAATGTTCACCTTTTTTTCTGCCAGGTCATCAACTAATTGGTATGTTTGGAAGAGCGCCTCATCAGTTCTTGCCACTTTGTGGTTTCTCAGTCCATTTGCAGCCTAGGCTATGTTTCCTGATTTCTCCTCTGATCTGTTTGCTCTCCTTCTGCCCTCTCTAGTAACAAAAGTGGTGTGTGCGGAGCAATGTGATGGCCGATGCTATGGACGTTCTGTCAGCGAATGTTGTCATCGAGAATGTGCCGGAGGTTGTTCCGGACCCAAAGACACTGACTGCTTTGTAGGTTTCAAAAGTCTTTCTTTCATACCACTTACTGCATACATTTACTCCAAGAAATTGGTAAACATGTTTTGGACTTTTATTATAGCGCATATAGCGTGTAAGTTATCCAGCAGAAATCTTAGCATTCATATTTTCTATTATGTTCCTGTTACCTACCAACTTATTTCACCCATTAAAACATTTATAAGATTTTCAACTAGAGATTTGAAGTCATTGGTGAGAATTTCACCTTAAGTGAAACTGCATTATTTACTTGCCTAAAATTAACAGGTTATAGATATGGGCAATTCATTTAGAACTTTGATTTTAAATGAAATATAATGCATACATCAGAAATAACTTCAATCATGTTTCCCTAAGAACAATCAATAACATTTTCTACCTAAGAAGACAACTTCCATTTCTTCCTTGGTGGTCTGTCTCCTACTTGAGGCAGCTTCTGATTTCAGTCCCAAGACACCAAGAGGAATGCGCTGCTGTACTTATGTCCAAGCTCCAGTTGCTTGGGCTTATTAGGGCAGACATTGTGTCCATGGGGACAGCAATCTTTTTCTCATTAGCCTGGTGGAATTGTGAAGAAAACATTCTCTTTTTCAGTCTTCACAAGGAAGTCCTCTGCTGTGAAAGGGAGGTATTAGGTATTGAGAAGTATAAGAAGTATGAAATCTATGAGAATCCTGCCATTTTATTTTATTGTTAGCAAAGTCTTCCTAAAATCCATTATATGTGTGAGTTTTTGAGTGAAGACCATATCCATTTTAATTTTATATCATTTTACCTACTATGGTCATTTTTATGTCTCTTAATAAGATGCAGATGCTTTAATTCCATTATTTCGTTAAACATAAGTTTATATTTCATTGCAGGAGGTTTGCTTGCACAGGGAACATAAATATAATCACTACCACAATAATAATGGTTAAAATATTTTTTGGCAACATTTGAAGTTGAAGAACCAGTTGAGTACATATTTGAGAAATTGGAATTAGGAACTGCTCAGATGAAGAAAATAATAGTTATTTAATTCCAGAGCTAAAGTTAAAGTTAGAAATCAAATTCAAAGCTGGATTTGTAGATATATATTTCAAGGTGGGGCTTGAATTGAAGAGCATAAATTGGGAGATAGTTTCAGAAGATGAGATTCAAGGCAGAATCTCTTTCTGCTCTAAAGAAAACTATTATCTCTAACCGAAAGCTGCCACTCACTGGCATCACTTTATCATGCAACTAGCTCAATACCTGTGGTTCGGTACAAAACTATGTGGTTCGGCTTAGTTTTTTGGGAGGAAAATAAGTGGGAAAAATCTGTCTCTGCCTACCAGCACTCATCGGTATTCATCTGGCTAGTGTCATGTCACTATGTGAGAGAGTTGAGGGCTGTTTGGAAAGTGAAACAGTATTTGCTGTGTGAGCAAGAAGGAGACAGCAAGAAGCTTGGGCGTGGCTTAGCTTAACTGTTCTATACTAAAACTGCTTGATGCTGTGAAACTAAAAATGAAACTCCTCTGCTTGTGTTTTGCATTTGGAACAGATTATTTTTCAGGTGGAGAAGGGGAGTAGAACTCCTTAGTATCAGAGCGTGTTAATAATAATATATGAAATACTAATGCTCTGATGGTCATTTCAAAAAATCCTTTCTTAGTGAGCACCTAGAAGCCAAGAGGAACATGTGCCAAATTTCAAGTTTGTAGGCTTTATGGTTCTGGAGATTTTGTGATGATGCACAAATGGTATTTCACTTTTATATATATAGATTTCAACTCCTTGTGTCACTCTACCATCAAATACTTGATTAAAATCAGAAATGAAAAAACAGAAGAATAAGTAATACAGGTGAAACTCAAAAAATTAGAATATCGTGCAAAAGTTCATTTATTTCAGTAATGTAACTTAAAAGGTGAACCTAATATATGAGATAGACTCATTACATGGAAAGCAAGATTGTTCAAGCCATGATTTGTCATAACTGAGATGATTATGGCTTACAGCTCATGAAAACCCAAATCCACAATCTCAGAAAATTAGAATATTGTGAAAAGGTTCAATATTCTAGGCTCAAAGTGTCCCACTCTAATCAGCTAATTAAGCCATAACACCTGCAAAGAGTTCCTGAGCCTTTAAATGGTCTCTCAGTCTGATTCAGTAGGAAGCACAATCATGGGAAAGACCGCTGACCTGACAGTTGTGCAGAAAACCATCATTGACACCCTCCATAAGGAGGGAAAGCCTCAAAAGGTAATTGCAAAAAAAAGTTGGATGTTCCCAAAGTGCTGTATCAAAGCACATCAATAGAAAGTTATGTGGAAGGGAAAAGTGTGGATGAAAAAGGTGCACAAGCAGCAGGGATGACCGCAGCCTGGAGACGATTGTCAGGAAAAGGCCATTCAAAGGTGTTGGGGACTTTTACAAGGAGTGGACTGAGGCTGGAGTCAGTGCATCAAGAGCCACCACACACAGATGGATCCTGGACATGGGCTTCAAATGTCGTATTCCTTTTGTCAAGCCGCTCCTGAACAACAAACAACGTCAGAAGCGTCTTACCTGGGCTAAAGAAAAACAGAACTGGTCTGTTTCTCAGTGGTCCAAAGTCCTCTTTTCTGATGAGAGCAACTTTTGCATCTCATTTGGAAACCAAGGACCCAGAGTCTGGAGGAAGAATGGAGAAGCACACACTGCAAGATGCTTGAAGTCCAGTGTGAAGTTTCCACAGTCTGTGTTGATTTAGGGAGCCATGTCATCTGCTGGTGTTGGTCCACTGTGCTTCAGGGTGTCCAGTGTCAACGCAACCGTCTACCAGGAGATTTTGGAGCACTTCATGCTTCCTTCCGCAGACTAGTTTTATGGGGATGCTGACTTCATTTTCCAGAAGGACTTGGCACCTGCCCACACTGCCAAAAGCACCAAACCCTGGTTCAATGATTGTGGGATTACTGTGCTTGAATGGCCAGCAAACTCGCCTCACCTGAAGCCCATAGAGAATCTCTGGGGCATGCCAAGAGAAAGATGAGAGACATGAGACCGAACAATGCAGAAGAGCTGAAGGCCGCTATTGAAGCATCCTGGTCTTCTGTACCACCTCAGCAATGCCACAGGCTGATAGCTTCCATGCCACACTGCATTGAAGCAGTCATTGCTGCAAAAGGGGCCCAAACCAAGTACTGAGTACAAATGCATGCTTATACTTTTCAGAGGTCTGATATTGTTCTATGTACAATCCTTGTTTTATTGATTGCATGTAATATTCTAATTTTCTGAGATTGTGGATTTGGGGTTTTCATCAGCTGTAAGCCATAATCATCACAATTATGACAAATCATGGCTTGAAATATCTTGCTTTGCATGTAAGGAGTCTATCTCATATATTAGTTTCACCTTTTAAGTTGCATTACTGAAACAAATGAACTTTTCCATGATATTCTAATTTTTTCGAGTTTCACCTGTATGTCCCTTTGGTTAGTGTAGCTAGGAATGGTGGTAGAATTCATCATCCTATCCCATATATAAAAAGGATGCATAGGTGGGCACACCTTGATTTCACCCTTAGAAAGATTGCCTGACCAAAGAGAAAGAAAACCCTGTTACAATTTTGTAGCTTTCACTCTGCTACCCCAAATTGAATGGATTTGAATTTTGATGAAAGTACCTAAAATGATGAACCAAAAAGAGTTGAGAAAGGACAGTTACCTTCCTTTGGCCAGCATGTGTTTATTTAAAGCTGCCCTTAAAGGCGAAAACTTTGTGGTGAAAACATGAAAGTTAAATGGAGTAAGATACTAGGGAAAAAATGGCAGTTTATCAACTGGGTATTATAAAAAATGTAAATATAAAGTGTAAAATTGTGCATGTTTTCTTTAGAAGAAAAAACTTTCAGGAACTAATTTAACATTGTTAATTCTGTAAAACTATTTGGTGGAACCTTAACCTTTTCCCAGTGATGGTTACCAGATTCTGCCTTTGTGTATGTACCTATTTTTTTTCAGGCCAGGAGAATACCAGTTATAGACATTGTATTTTCCATTGGGTTTGACCCATATAGCCCACCCTTATTCATGAACATTCAGGGATCTGAGTGAACAAGCTGAGTTTTTTCTTGAACCCAAAATAGGCAGATTAATCTACAATGAACTTGAAGCCATCCTATTCAATATGACTTTTTTGTGTCTGTGGCCTGGAAAAGGCAACTAAACAGCACTTGATAACAGGTAAAAGATAAATCCTGAGCTGTGCTGGATCCTTTATCTGCAATTCAGCTGAAGGGGCTGTCAGATACAAGTTCAACAAGATCTGGAAAGACAATAATGGATAAAAATGGAATTAATGGAAAGAAATAAGTGAATAATTAACAATATTTCAACACAATGAATTAAGAGATGTTCTAACACAGACTGCTTTCTTTAACTTATAATACTCTGCTGTGAAAATTGCTAGGTAAGACACACATCTATCTTTCGCTGTGTGCTGGTAAGTATTCATTTATGTGAGCACTCTTCAAAGCAAAGAAATGTGTATTTCTGCAGTTTTACTATTTCAGCAGATTTACTCACAAAGAGTTCTCACGAAGTACAGTGAGAAATGAAATTAAACTGAATGTAAATAGGTTTCCAGCTTTTTTGTGCTTTCCTTCATCAGTTTGATATTTAGTCTTGCTAATTTAAGATGTCTTTCATCATAACATTTTTTTGCTTTTGTCCAGTGTTCATCCAAATGTCCATCTGAACAGAATTGGCATTTTCCTTTTGCATATTAAGTTGATAGAGGTATTGCTGTCTTCACTGCCTTCTTTATAAGTTCTTTCTATCTAGAGTTGCTAATAGCCAAACAAGGTATTCCTACAGTTGTAGTCAGATTTTACTTAACATAATGTCAATTCATTAATGCCAATGAAAACTCTGAGAACAGTGCTGTTTCTTCACTTTCAGGCTTGTATGAACTTTAATGACAGTGGTGCCTGTGTCACCCAATGCCCACAGACTTCAGTCTACAATCCTGCCACATTCCAGATGGAAACCAATCGAGATGGCAAATATACTTATGGTGCTTTTTGTGTTAAAAAGTGTCCACGTAAGTTACAGCAGGATTTTTTTTTCCTCAGTGAGACACCTTTATTATAAAATTCTTAAGAAATTATTGCAGCCAAGTTAAATATGAAATTGCAGTATTAATTCAAATTAATAGTTTTAATTTGAAAATTAGTTTTAAAACCAATGGTTTTATTTTGAATGTATATATTATTCTAAGAACAGCATTTTGGGAGAGCTAAAATAAGACCTTTTGCTTAAAAACTAAAACTGTCTTAAATATTATGGGTTTTATAATCAAAATGTCAGATTACTTGCATCCCATAATGTACAAGAACAGCATGACAAAAGTCAGATTTGGAGAACTTCCTAACCTTTTAATTTTCCTTAAAAGGTTTCATTTTTGTTTTCCATAAAGTATAAGTTAAAATTATATTTATGTTTGCCCTTCTCTTGGAATTTTGAAGTGCGATCTGGTAATGTCAGTCATCGCAAATTTATTACTATTCAAGAGTGCTCACAATTTTGTGTTAGAATTGTGTACCCCATTCAGGGGTGGGCTGCTGGGGGTTCACGGGGGTTCAGGAGATCCTCTAAGATTCTGCACAGTTTGGAAAATCCCTAAATCCCATTCCTAGCTGGCCCCGCCCGCCCCACCCTGCCTCTCCCCTCCCAGGAATCCCCATGCAGCCCATTTTGGATGCAAATAAGTGCAGGGTCCGCACAGAGGCTCGGGGAGGGTGAAAAATGGGCTTCCTGGAAGTTCAGGAAGGCTGGAAACAAACCTGTTTCCGTTTTCCAGAGAGCCTCCAGAGCCCTGGGAGGCCATTTTTGCCCTCCCAGAGGCTCAAGGAAAAGCCTCCGGAGCCGGGGGAGGGCAACAACGCCCCACCACCATGGTGCAGGAGGCAGACTAGGCCACGCCCACCCAGCAACTAGGCAGAGAACCCATTGCTAAAATTTTTGAAGCCCATCCCTGACCCCATTCAACATATTAAATACATTCTGGGATTGGTGTGCTCTGGGTATGCTGGGACTTTTCCATAGAAAACTTGCACTTGCGTCATAATAGGGATGAATCCCAGATCTTCTTTTGACGTTAAGTCAAGACTTGGTCTCGGCCAGGAGACATATGCTATGCATATGCTAGATCAGAATCATTTTGCCTCCTCAGGCATGAGAAAAATCCCACCGAATGCAATGAGGTAGATCAGAAATGTATCTTGAGTTATTTGTTTCAAAACCTGAAATAACAAAATCTCAGACAGGTCTCCAGAGAAATGCATCCAATCATTAGCCAAGCAAAAACAATTGAAGCTGAATGTGAGACATAGAGTATGGCTTTCAGAAACTTAGACTGAATGGCTTCTAAAGTAGGATCATCTGTAACATTAAATTTCTCACACAGGAGTTTTTTTTACCTTGACTTGAACTGCATTATCTATTGTGGTTGAGCAAATCTACTAGTCTCCCACACCACAACCACGTTGCTTTTGCTCAGATATAGATGTAGTTAGTAACCCATGATTTTAATCTGTCCACTGCCCGGAGTTTGACCCTGACCGGCTCAAGGTTGACTCAGCCTCTTATCCTTCCGAGGTCAGTGAAATGAGGGCCTGGATTGTTGTGGGCAATATGCTGACATTTGTAAACCACTCAGAGTTTAAAGCACTATGAAGCGACATATAAGTCCAAGTGCTAATGCTATTGCAATGTTCCTCTCACTATCAGTGTATGTTACCAGATTGGTAAATTCCCAAAGATAAATAGGCAGGGAGATAGATAGATATGCAGGAAGGGATTTTTGTGTGTAACACTCACCATTTTAAGTGTGATGCCTTCCTCTCCATCCAGAGCATTAAGCTACATTGGTATTATAAATGAAGTTTGGTGGAGAATTTTGAATAGATGACAGAGTTAAAGACCAAATTCTACCTTAAAGGAATTAAACCTATCCCAATTTATCCCATTCATCTCTGGCTTTGGAGATGGGGATGCCAAGTGGAGCATAACCTTACAAAATGAGAACAGGTTTTGAATTACAGAAGCTTTCTTGTTTGATGCTGAGCTTTCTGCCCCTTTAACTAGAAGTGCAAATTTATCTCAGGATGATCTGTTGAGTGCTTGTCTGTTATGCAGCAGATACAATAACGAGGGGTGGGTAGGTAATGTTGGTTACTCTATTAGAATAAGTTGGCAAAATGAATTAGTGGGGACTGCACAGTGAGGGGTCAACCTGACCAACCTATTCCTTTTTTACAAATCTCTGAAATAAACACATTCCAGGGCTTTGCTACCAGGCATAATACATTTAAACCACTGATTTTTTTAAAAACTTCTGGCTTTCAGCCAAAAGCTATTACTTGCTTCTGTCACAGGCTAAGTATTTTTTTTTTAATCTGCTCTGAGGCAATTCCCCAAAGTGTGAATAGCCAGGTGATAATGGCCACCCTAGACTTGATAAAATGTGTCAGTGAAACTTTGATTAGGCTCAGGCCTCAAAGCTTTTAAAAAAAATGAAGATTTAGGGCAACCTTTCACAACCTTCCACAAGCAAAATATATAGGTGGGGGGAGAGGAAGGGAGTGGATGTTCTTCACAGTAGGAAGTCCCTAGGATTGTACAATATGGGAACAGAGAAAAAGAGTCAGCTTTAAGGGGTGATAGCCATTGACTATGGTTGTGTTCAAGAACATTCAGAAACATCTTTGGGGCATCAAATCTGAAGCATGGCATATCCTTAATCTACTGTATACTACTAAAACACTCACTGTCATGACCTTTAATTGGATGAGTGGTATATCATAGGATAACAATTTTTGAACCAGGGTAGCTCAAACTTACAAAATGGGGTCAAAATCTGGGACCCATGACACTTGAGGGAATGAAATTTGGGGAAGTAGTGGTTGTGCTATTGGCCACTGTTGAGCTGCTGTTGCAGTCACATGGGATTCCATGACCCATATAGCATCTTGTACACAAGCCCAAACATTCTCCCTGTGTGGGCTCCCTGTGTGCCTTTCCTGATCCACATATCACTTGTACACATTCCCTTCCCAACCCAAGAGGCACTTCTAATACACCTTCACGTTCTGTTCCTCATTCGCATTCCCATGCACCCCTTCAATCTTTCCCTCATCTGGCAGCAGTCACTTTCAAGTTTCTGCTGGCTTCTCCACAGATTCTCTCTTTCTTCAAACTTCCCACATAGGAAGTAAATGGGGAAGCTGGAAAGATTTGGAGGGAGGGAGGGAGGGAGGAAAGAAGGAAGGAAGGGAAATTTCTGAGGCTCCCTGCCAGCTTCATACAAAGAAATTCAACATGGCCATTCAGTTTCTCTGATAATGGTAAAGAAATACCTCTGAAATGATGATCCACCGGGGCAGGGTGTCTGGTATAGCGGTTGCCAATTGGTAGGCCACGGCCCCCTGGTGGGCCGTGAGAAAATTTTGGTGGGCCGCAGAGAAATCTCACCCCTAGAGCACCCCCCCAAAGCAATTAATCCAGGCTGCATAGAAACACAAGGCTGCTCAGCCCACATGGCCCACGGGAACCCTCCTCGCCCACTCACTCCTTACCCGGCAAACTTGTCTGCTAAGTTGCTATTTTTCCTTTTTCCGACCATCATCTGTTCTGCTGTGCTAGGAGATTTAGATTAGCTAGGAAGCAGGAAATGGTTGGATTTCTTGCTTTCTAGCTAAGCACAGCCGAACCTCCCTTAGGACTGAAGGTTTGCTTGCAAGCAAATTCAGTGCAGACTCACGGCAAGCAAATTTGAGAGACTGAGCTAGCTGATGACAGATAGATAGATCACTGAATGATTCTGTGAGCAACTCAATCTGCCTGCTTTGCCTGATTTTGGATAAAAGTTTTTTTTTTAAATAAAAAATTCAATATTTACATGCATGGTGTGTTGTGAGTTAATTTTATGAGTTTGCTTGCAAACAAATTTTATGTGACAGGCTGAGCTAGCCAATGGCAGATAGATAGATTTCTGAATGAATCTGTTATTCTGTGAGCAACTCAATCTGCCTGCCTGCTTTGTCTGATTTTGGGTAAAAGTTGCTCTTTTTTTATAAAAAAATTCAGTATTTATATAAATATTTATATTTACATACAAGACATGCCCAGCCAGTCACATGACCACCAAGCCACACTCACAAATTAGGCCATGCCCACAAAACCAGTTAGTGGTCCCTTGGATCTAAAATTATGAGTTTGGTGGTCCCTGAGGTCCAAAAGGTTGGTGACCCCTGGTCTAGTATATAATACAATAATAAATTGATTATTCAGCTGTGGGGAGATAAACTTGTTTCATGTTTGCAGCTAATCTACAACAGTTTAATCTTTCATTGTTTTTAAAGAAGTTCAGCAAGCTACCTGCTGGGCTAAAAATTTCAGGGCTGTCCCATTATATGGCTTTCCTATTAAGGACACGTGGGACCTAAGAAAGCCTGTTTGTTACATGATCCACTTGCCCAAGTAGTTTTTATGTGCAGTAAATTTTAAAAAGCATTTTAAAGAAGAAAATTATTCATAACATTGGATGAAATTATTTCATAAAGCAAAACTGACTATAAGACAAAATAGTTAAAATATCCTGGATTCCCTTTAAATTTGGCTGGGGAATTTGATGATTAGCTAGTCTTCACTTAAGGCAAATGTTTGCTCTACTGTGATTTCTCCTCAGATAAATTGTGATCTTTTATTCCAGGGGAAAATCCAGAATGAATACTTTAAAAAAAAAATTAAATAGCCATTTTGCCATCACAGTCTTTGGGATAATTTCATATTTTACTGTTGTCATTAAAGAATAACAAACAAACAATATCTTTCAACGACTGGTGGGTTGTTGTTTTTTGAAAGTCAGGTACCAGCCAGGAACCTAAGAATTATCCAAATAGTACTGATAAATATAACAAGCAGCCAACAAGATGTTTTAAATAAATCTATAGTTGATATGATTCAAATATTTAATTCTTCGAAAAATATGTTTCATCTATATGTTATTTCGCCTAATGTGCCAATAATTATGGGAATAGCTTTCCATTATCTGTTACAAAAATATAATATACAAAAATAAAATATTTTTTTCATAATCAACCCAATTTGATTATTAGTTATCCAAATATAGTTATCCATATTTTGTAATTATTATCACATTATTTTTCTTTAATTCAGCTATCCCTTTTCAATTTTTGTTGTGTTGTTACAATAGGTTTCTCATAAAATCTCATAAACTCTTACATCATTTTTAACAATCTTTTCAATTATGTAATTATACCCCATTGGGGAAACTTGAAAATTGAAATTTTGGCACAGATGCCAGTGCATCATAGTTAACCTGTCATGATGTTTATAGATAATTTTGTTGCATCGAGTGACTGATCACATAATCTAGAGTTTCATCTCTTTCTTTACAAAAAAAGTGTTTCCTTCTCCTTTAAGCATGTTAAATCCTTGATTTAATTCCATATGTTTGTAATGTTAGTTTTTAAGCTGAAAAATTAATCCTTGTGTTTCCTTCTTGGCCATGCCGTTTTGTAACATTGCTGTCTTACCCATTTTATTTTAAACTTATTTTTTTAAAAGATACTGACTATGAAGTGGTTTCTAAATGGTTTTCTAGTAATTCAGTTTTACAGGAGGAATGGTAGTCTCTGAGCTTGATGGTTTTCTTGCAGATGTTTCATTACCAAACTAGGTAACATCATCAGAACTAGAAGAGAGTGGAGTTTGCTCTTATTTTAATATACTAGTGGCTTTCCCTGTCAATATTGATTAGGTGCTTTACAAAAAGTATTTTGATTGGTGCCAGGTCTCTACAGCCTCAGGCCCAGAAGGGCTATTCTGTGCAGTTCACATCCCTTGCTTGCTGGATCTCAAGCAAAGCAAAGCTCACATTTTGTAATTAACTCCTGTGCCCCATTTTGGCTGGCAGAGTGCTTCAGGAGACTGAGTGCTGTCATGCCCAGTGGCCATGCCCAACCTGGCCATGCTCACCCAGCCCTACCCACCCAGCCAGTCATTAGGGCGGAGAACTGGTTGTTAAATTATTTGAATCCTGCCACTGCAATTAGCAGCTTGAAAAGCATGTGATTGGCATAATTGCTATAGTTGCTTCCAACTATACCATTGTTTCTGTCTTTTATTATTAAAATGTTCTACCATATATTAATTAATGTTTCTACTTTTTAATATTTCACTAATGAAAATATTAGGGTCATCAGAAATTAGAGCAAAAGTTACTGTATTTCTTCTCTTTCTTTTACGGAGAAGTTTTTAACTTTTTTTGCTTACTTTGAATCATTCCTGATGTAATAAATATGTCGTTCATTTTCATTGAACCAACATTCTTCTTAATCTCTTTTCTACAAACTGCATTCTTATTATGGTCTTATGGGTTATTTTGGATGGCACTCCAAAATGTTGATGTTTCATCTTTATAAGAACAAACATCTATCTTTGTAATATTTCACCATAATGTTTTATAAAACAACTGCTCATTGTTTGAAACTGCCAATTTTGTTGAAGTTGATTTAATCTAGCTTCATATCAATTGTATTTGAAATAGCTGTCACTCATTTTAATTCATTTTACTGCTAAGATTATATCTTTTCTGTAAATGTTCCTTCATATTATTGTTTTTCAATTTTGGTTTCCTTCAAATTCTTCTGATTGTTGATATCAGTTCAAAGTTTATTGAACTTTCCAAGTGAAATCACTCTTTGGGTGATTGATTTTGATACTTTTTTACAACATTGTATGCTAACTCTCATGTTGTTATAACTGTAGCTGTCGTGCTAGGATCAGTCAGTGTTTGTACTGATATGCTTTACTACCAAATTTGTGAATTTTGATATTACTACCAAATATGTGAATTTTGATATTTCTTTTCTACTCATATTTTTCCATGGTGGAAGCTTTTTCCTATAGCACAAGTTTTGAAAAGCAATATGTAAAGGCTTAGATCATTGTAATAGAAAATTATGTTCAGTATATTTTTCCTTTTAGTTAAAAGCTAGCGCTCAACATTATTTTCCTCAATATTTTCATTCCTTTTATCAGCATTTTAATAGGTGTTGAATGCTAATAAAATTTGATGGGATTTTATTTGATTTCTTTGATGATGAAATAACTTTTATTTGTGTTGTTGTTACCAATATTATTAGAATTTTCAGATAGTTTTCCAGATCTTGCAGTTCAGTATCTGTAAAAGCTTGTATTCCAAGAAGAAATTTTCATTGCTCCCTTAATGGCTGTACATGGATTTCTAAATCCGGGTATTAAAGGTTCCAAATATCAAACATCATCTTTAAAATCCCCTAGTTGTAGGGTTTTAGTTTAGTTTACTTTATTGTCATTGCACCTCGTACAACAAAATCAAACACCATCTTCAGTGCACATCATGACCATGACCATGACCATGAAAATAAACACAAACACACATCCTTCACCCTTCACACATTTGAACCGGAAACCCCCAATTAACACTGCACTATACAGCAGAATTCAAAAGAGCTACTGCCCTGGGATAGAAGCTGTTTTTCAGCCTATTTTTCCTTGTTTTTATTATTCTGTACCCTTTGCCAGATGGTAATAGTTCAAAAAAAGGGTTCCCAGGATGAGATGGATCTTTGAGAATGTTTTGAAGTTTCTTAAGACAGCAGAAGTTATAAAGCTCTTCCAAAGAGGGGAAAAGGCAACCAATGATATTTTGGGCAATGACATTAACCCTCTGGAGTGCTTTCCTATCTGCCACTGTGCAATTGACAAACCATACAGAGGTGCAGTATGTTAAAATGCTCTCTATGGTGCTGCGGTAGAAGGTCACCAGCAGTTTCTCATTCAGTTGTTGTTTTCTGAGAAGTCTCAGGTGGTATAATCTCTGCTAGGCCCTTTTGACCAGGGCTGCAATGTGGGCACCCCAGGTCAGGTCCTCTTTTAGGGTAACACCCAGAAACTTAAAACTGGCCATTTGCTCCACTCGGTCTCCATTGATAAGCAAGGGCTGGATGTCTGATCTGTTCCTCTGTAATCTACTATAAGCTCCTTGGTCTTATTGGTGTTGAGGACCAAGTTGTTGTCTCCACACCACAAAAGCAACCGGTCCACCTCATCTTGGTAGGCAGATTCATCCCTCCCCCGGAGATAAGTCCCACCACTGTTGTATCTATTTATGAGAAATAGCATTTAATGATTGCCCAATTTTCTTCATTTTCCTTCAATTTCAACAGTTTCCTTAATTTTGCTGGATATCCCAGATGCTTTACAGCATTATTATTATGGTTGGTCATACATTTGGTGTTTTAATTTAATCCTTTTCAAGGATGTAGGATAGGCTGTTGTTGTTTGATGGTGGTAATCATCATAGGATTACTATGTAATCCTGTTTCAATTATTGTTAGCATTATTATTACTACTACTACAGAGGTGGTATTCAGCCACTTCTGACAGGTTCTGGAGAGCCGGGAGTAGAAATTTTGAATAGTTCGGAGAACCAGTAGATAGCACCTCTGGTTGGCTCTGCCCCCATCTATTTGCTGCCTCCTGAGTCCCAGCTGATCAGAGTCCCAGCTGATCAGCTGGGTCTTCTTTTGTTGCCCTGTACAGGAGAACGGAGCTGGACAGCAGGTTAGTGGTGTGGAGAGGGAATGGGGATTTTACAATATCCCTCCCCTGTCATGCCCACCAAGCCACACCCACGGAACCGGTAGTAAAAAAATTTGAATACCACCACTGTACTACTAGTTACAAAAGATTGCCCACTTCTGAAGCAGTGTGAATGTGTTTTTCTTACAGTTGAAAATCAAGCAGTTGGATAATTTTAAATACTAGACTGGTATAACAGCCAGTTCTATCTTTATATTATGGGGCCATTTTGCTTACTAACTGAAATAAAATTATTTTTTATAAAATTTATTTTATATAAATTAAATTTTATTTTATGATTTCATTTTAAAATTGATTGCCAATATCTTTACTATTCAATATCCTGCTATAGTTTTTATTTTATGTGATGGTAAGAATTGATAGCTTCTGATGGATACCATATAGATATATTCCAAAATATTACCCTCATTTTAAAAAGTTACAGTATCAATATGTCATGGGGAATAATTTTTTTAAAGAATGTTAAATTAGCAATGAAGCATGAGAATGTGAACTTGCATAACATTCCAGAAAATAAAATAGAACATCATAAGAAAGAACATGTCAAGCACTAATATAAAACTACCTCTTAACCAACCCTGTGTCTTTAGAAATGGAAGTTGGGGCATTCATTGTTTGCAACTTGAGAGTGATTTTTTTTTCATTGTTTTCCCCTCTATCCCTTTTAGACAACTTTGTGGTTGATATCAGCTCGTGTGTACGTGCCTGTCCAAGTCCCAAGATGGAAGTGGAGGAAAATGGAATTAAGACGTGTAAACCATGCACTGACATTTGTCCTAAAGGTAGGCTGCCTTTGTTTAAAAACCCTGTGTGGTTCAATAAATGGTAGTCTTGCAGTTGGAGTCCAAACCCAGTTTGGGTTTGACTATCTAAAGGTAGCTGTTTGATCATCTAAGGTAACTATGGCAATCCTGTGGAAATGTGGTTTCCCATAGTCCACTGAACATAGTCTTTTATTTATTTATTTATTTTATTTTGTCAAGCGATTATAAGATAACAGGTATAAGGATAAACATAGTTATGAATACATGAAATGGATACATATAAGAAAAATAAAAAGAAACAATAGGACAGGGACGGTAGGAACGTTGGTGCGCTTATGCACGCCCACTACAGATCTCTTAGAAAAGGGGTGAGGTCAATAGTAGACAGTCTAAGTTTAAAGTTTTGGGGGTTTGGGGAAGACACCACAGAGTCAGGTAGAGTATTCCAGACATTGACCACTCTGTTGCTGAAGTTGTATTTCCTGCAATCAAGTTTGGTGCGGTTTACCTGAGTTTGTATCTATTGTGTGCTCTTGTATTGTTATGGTTGAAGCCAGAGGTGGTATTCAGCAGGTTCTGACCAGTTCTAGAGAACCGGTAGTGGAAATTTTGAGTAGTAAATGCCACCTCTGACTGGAGATTTTACAGTATCCTTCCTCTACCATGCCCACCAAGCCACGCCCACAGAACTGGTAGTAAAAAAAATTGAATCCCACCACTGGTTGAAGCTGAAGTATTCATTGACAGGTAGGACATTGCAATATTTAATTTTATATACTATACTTAGATTGGACCGAAGGCGGCATAGTTCTAGGTTTTCTAGGTCTAGAATTTCAAGTCTGGTGGCATAAGGTATTCTGCAACGAGTAGAGGAATGGAGAACTCTTCTTGTGAAATATTTCTGGACTTTCTCAACTGTATTAATATCAGATACATTGTGCGGGTTCCAGACTGATGAGCTGTATTCGAGCATTGGTCTAGCAAATGTTTTGTATGCTCTAGTTAGTAGTGTAATATTACCAGAGAAAAAGCTACGTAAGATTAGGTTAACAACTCTTAATGCCTTTTTGGCTATGTAGTTACAGTGGGCTCTAGCACTTAGGTCATTAGAGATGAGTACTCCAAGGTCCTTGACAGAGTCTTCAGTAGTTGGGGGTCTTCTGGAACACCAACTTGTAAGATGAAGTTGGTAGAGTCTGATCTCTGGAATAGTCTCCCAAGGAGTTTCTCCTTTATTCTCCCTTCTCCTTTTGGGTTTTGCAGTGTTCTCTCCCACTTCTCTTTTTTCCTCAAGCTCAAGAAAAGGCAATGGAACAATGCATTGCATTGGGTATGCAATATTAAAGTTAGGGAGCAATTTTTTAATCAGAAAAAAAGGCAAATATGTGCACTAGTTAAACAGGGTTTATGTCCCATTGTCTGTGAGCTTTACTGGGCTCCTGGCAATCAGAAAATTATTTCTGCATAGAGTGAGAGGAAGGGACTATAGTTACATAGGATAATAGAAGTATGATGGGAAGATGGTTTAAAGCAGAAAAGGGAAGACGAACTTCTTGCCATTTTGCAGTTGAGAAATCTCTTTTTAATGCCTAGTTTCAGGTACAAATGATCAGGACTATATGTTAAGTTGCAGTTCAAAGATTCATTGCTCAAGCCTATACACAAGAATCTAGTCGACTGTTAATGTTCAGTACTAAATTGGCACCATATAAGAACCAACAGAATTCAAGAAAGAACTGTTTGGCAACATAACAACTCAAAGATGATGACACATTCAACTCTGCCCCCCAGCTCTGTCTGTTTATCTCCTACAATGAATTCCATTTTTTAACGCTGATTGCAAAATACACTTGGAAAATGATGTAACCATTTCCCAAGTTCTCACCTTTCCAAAATGTTTAGCCTTTTTTCCCCCAGATTATAATTCCCTTCACTCTTCCAATGGTGCACTTTCAATGGATTCAGAATCTGGTCTTTACCTACATATTTCTGTCACTGTCATCTCTAGTTTAGACATAAGATATCCTGGAATTCCCCTAACACTTAGAGTGACCATATTTTCTTGGAAAAAATAAGGACAAATCTGAAGAAGGCTCAGATCTGTTCCCCTTTTCAAGGCATGCAAGTACTTTCCCTTTCACATCTCCCAGTATCTGTCAGTATGAAGGGTAAGTGGGGGAAGCGGGGGAAGCAGCAGGGCAGGTCTGTGTGCCCTGTTCTCTGCTGTGTTTGAAGACCTCATGCATTTATGCAAGCAGCACATTCAGAATATTAAGGATATCTTTACACATTTAATCTGAGCTTTAGTTTTCAGATGCAGGGAAAATATTCCAGTATCAACATGCCTCAAATATTTAGTAATGCTTTCTGGGATGAATAATTTCTAATTCGTTGCTTGAGAAACATTAACACTTGCTTACCACCATATCTATTTCATCCAGTTCTAAAGAGCTGTGCATCTTAAATCTGTTCAAAGAGAACTATCAACTTTAGTAGAAAATTACACGTGAAAACATTTGATTTATGTAGATCAGAATGGGGATTGAATTTGTTCCTTTGTATGATTTAGGGATATGTCTCTGGTCGTTATGAACTTTCCCCTTCGTTAACATACTCTTTCAGATATCATATTTTCTATGTGGAGCTATGGTTGCGTACAATAATATAGGCACAGCTGGCTAAATTGTATAACGTGTTCATGGTGCACAGTTTGACAAGGTAGACTACAACCAACTTCTTAGTAAGCTAGAAAAAAGTGGGATAGCATCACCAACAGATGGATTCATAACTGGCTGACAAATCATACTCCAACGAGTAGTCCTTAACAGTACTACATCTATATGGAGGAAAGCAAGCAGTGAGGTGCCACAAGGTTCCATCTTAGGCCCAGTACTCTTCAATATCTTCATAAATGACTTAGATGAGGGAATAGAAGGGAAACTTATCAAATTTGCAGATCATACTAAGCTGGCAGGAATAGCCAGCACCCTAGATGATAGGCTCAAGATCAGATAGATCTTGACAAAATTGAACACTGGGCCCTATCAAAAAAATGAAATTCATTGTAAAGAAAAGGTATGTCTTATACTTAGGCAAGAAAAACCAAAAGTACAAATATATTTTGGGATTGGGAGAAACCAGGCTTAATAGCAGTAACTGTGAGAGGGATCTTGGAGTCTTAGTGGACAACCAATTAAATATGAGCCAAAAGTGTACAGCAGTAGCAGCCAAAAAAGCAATCCTAAGTTACATTACAGAGGGATTCAATCAAGATCACATGAGATACTAATACCACTCTATAAAGCCTTAGTAAGACCACACCTAGATTACTACATCCAGTTTTGGTCACCACACTATAAAAAAGATGTTGAAACTCTAGAAAGAGTGCAGATAAGAGCAAGCAAGATGATTAGGGGACTGGAGGCTAAAACACATGAAAAACGGTTACAGGAATTGGGCATGGCTAATCCAGTGAAGAGAAGGACCAGGGAGACATGATAGCAGTGTTCCAATATTTGAGGGGCTACCACAGAGAGGAGGGAGTTAACCTATTTTCCAAAGCACCTGAAGGCCAGACAAGGAATAATGGATGGAAACTGAACAAGGAGAGATTTAACTCGAAATAAGGAGACATTTTGTGACATTGAGAACAATCAACCTCCTCTAAGTCTTTAACTTATCACTTGGAAATAAAGATAATTCTCCTTTACAAAGCAGGGGAAGGCCTTAAAATGTTATCTAAATGTTTCCACCTAGCATTTTCAACTATGAGAAACATGGTTGAGAAATGGAAGTTACATGGAAGAGGACAGATTAAGAAGATTGGTAAAATGTCTGTTAGATCTGCCTGAAAACAGGCCAGATCTATAACAACAGAATTCACAGATCACTACAAATGACTTGCTGGAACTTTAGCTGACACTGGAGTAAATGTTCCCAGTTCCTTGGCATATGGGTTGTTGTTGTTTTTTTGTGATACAGATTTGCATGCAGTAGTTGTCAGAAGGAGACCCTTTCTGCACCCTCATCATAGAAGTCCAAAAGCAACACTAGAAAAACCTCAGCTGGCCAAACAAAACTGTTGTTTCTGTCCAAATGGGGTATTACAAAAACCTGATAGCAAAGATGCTTGATCTTTGCTCCTGCTATATTGTCAGTTCTTCCATACTCTCTATCTCTTTTTTCCTCTATCTCTTTTTTCTTTCTCAACATGTAAATTGCACATAAAGACTAATGTAAGCAGGCATTCAAATTTGTAGAAATATATTTAACTTTCTACTTTAACTTTGTAAACATATATATTTAGCTTTGCATAGCTAGCACAATTGGGATCAGTAACTCTGTTGCTAAAAGCTGCAGCCACTAAACAAGACATCATATGATTCTGACTTGCAATTTCACTTCTGTGCTCTTCTGTGCTCTTAATTCTGCTTTTTGGAAGCCTGTTGTGAAGCTTGCAAATGATTATTGTGTAATTGTGGGACATTGTGATGTTCATAAACGCACATCTGTTGCAAAGTACCTGAATGGTGATCACATGACCATGGGACATTACAACAGTTGTACATGTCAGGATTGGTCACACTGGTGTTTTTGAACCATTGTAACATCAAATGGTCGACAGTCAATAAAGTGAGAACTTCTTGTACTATGTAAAGATTGCTCCACCTTTCTTCACTTTGGGATTCATGGAACAATATCATTTGACTAAGGTTATGTAAACTTTACACACAACTGTAACTCCTTAAGAAGAAGAATCAATTTTATGAGCTTTACCTGAAGATATGTGGGATCTGAGCCCTGTAACACTCTGTTTAGAGCTATTGAGTCAAACATTTCTTTTTTCCTCTCTCTGTGGGGCTAACAGATGTAATGAGAAAACTTTTTATTGTACAGGGTCAAATAATTTATTTGATAAACTATAAGAAAAGGAATAGGGATAAATGCCCCAAGATGCTTAAAATGATTCTGGATTTTTAGTAAAGAAGTTTGGAGATCTTTATAGTTTCACCTATGGTTTTTTTTTTGTATTGTTTTGATTGTATTAATAAAGACATCACCCAGCTATTTTTACAGGATTTTGAACATTAGTATTGCTCCATTGTATCTGTGAAAAGAGTTATAGCTAAAAGGGTTCTATAATGTATTTCTTTGCTTTATCTTGCATGGTTTGTATCTTTGCATTCTATTTCTAGTACTGTTACTATAAAATAGCTCTTTTATGGCAATACACAGTCATGTGTGTAAGTCACGGCATTCTATAGATTGCTTTATAAAGTAGTTCCTAACATAATTTTATGCTCAGGGCTAGACATGGATGAAATAGAGAAGGGTTTTTAATAGTAGTAGTAGTAGTAGTAGTAGTAGTAGTAGTAGTAGTAGTAGTAGTAGTATAGTAGTAGTAATTATAATTATAATTATAATATAATTATAATTATAATATAATTATAATAATAATAATTTTTAGATTATTTATTTTGAAATGAAAGATAAAAGAACAAAAGATGGAGATTTATGTCAGAAACTCTTGGAATATATGACTTCAGAAACCAATGTGCAATTCTTAAACTAAGGATTTCACATCAGCTTAGAAAAATTAAACATAGCCATTTTCTTGACTTCTTGACAGAATAGGTTTTTCCCCCTGATTCCTTTCTCACTATCATCAGTACTTATTACTTCCTAGTTCATAATATACAAGTTCTGTCCCAGTTCACTTCTGTAATGTTATAAAATTGCCTTGATCACTCCATTCTGTAGTGATACAAATGTCCTGCTTTAGAACTTTTCTCTCCATGTGTGACTTTCTACCAGAAATATAGCTACAATCATTCTGTGACTAATCCTTATTCTACAATGTTTTGCTTTGCTTCATGCTTTGTTTTGTTTTATCACCTTGCTGCCTTCCACTAATTATAATTTCAGCCTAGTCTGTCATTCACTTAGGTAGTCACTTGTACAAATAATTCATATATAATTGCATATTTTTACAAAGTTGTTTATTTTTGCAGCATGTGATGGCATAGGTACAGGAAGTTTGATGTATGCTCAAACTGTGGACTCCAGTAACATTGATAAATTTATCAACTGCACCAAGATCAATGGGAATTTGATCTTCCTTGTCACTGGAATTCGTGGGTAAGTTTAAAATATTATGACATCTAATGCCAATGTTTTTTTTAAATAATTTCACTGTGCAGCAGTTCTATCATTCAATGCTGAAATGAAATATTAGGCCAACTTTGTTTCACCTGGTTACCTGTAAAGTTACATATCAAGGAGGAGCATATAGTGGGTTCTTCCAGATTTCAAATTTTAAGCATAAAAGTTGATAAGGTAACATCAAAAGAAAACTTTAGACTATCATACTTTGGCATTAAAATAAAGATGCCTCACACTAAAGATGTCCTAGTTTGGGTTCTCCTGTGGATTTTATGAAAAGATTGATCAAAACTATTTCAGAGTTTTTGAGCCCAATTAGAATAAATTAGTGTAGCTGAAAGAAATTCATTGACCAATTTCAAGGAAAGGAGAGGCATAGAAGACAATAGAGACATAGGAAAGTGACTACATTTTGAAAACAGAATTGAAACTCGTGAGAAGAAAAGTTAGTTTTAGAATGAAGGTGCTGGATTATGCAAGGCCAGGCAATTTATCCATTAACATGAAGATTGTTTGCTAAAATTAGCAAAAAGGTATTGCACATCAGTGTCATATACAAGAATTGGAATAGGAACCACCATCCACCCGTCTGTCTAGCTACATAATCTATATACTGTATTACACAATCATACAGACTGGGTGGTTCAAAATAACTAAGAGCATAAACATACAATCAGGGGTGGGATTCAAATTTTTTAACAACTGGTTCTGTGGGCGTGGCTTAGTTGGTGGGCGTGGTTTGGTGGTCATGTTATTGGCTGGGTGTGACCAACTCAACATCACTCACATCGAGGCACGCATCTCCTCGCCTGGCCTCTTGTGACTATGGGGATGCTGCAACAGTCGTAACTGTGAAAAACAGTCATAAGTCACTTTTTCAGTGCCATTGTAGCTTTGAATGGTCACTCCACACAAGCAAAGTACCAGCAAAGGAGGGGGGAAAATCTCCAGAGAGGTTCCTGAGACAGGAAGTCTAGTCCTGCCAAGAATGTAATAAGGGTTAATGGAGAGGCAGTTTCTGTAAACAACACCAGAATGTTTCCTTCCTGCCTTCCTTACAGGATTAGGCCAGTAATTTCTTCTTACAATGGTTCTCCGAACTGCTTAGAATGTTAACAACCGGTTCTAGCGAATAGGTGCGAACTTGTAGAATCCCACCCCTGCATACAATTCAGATTAAAACATCCATGACAAAGAAATTGCCACAACACATGAAATCCTTAACAATAATAGATTATAATATGTACTTTTATGTAATGTTACTTTATATACTAGATTTCCTCAGTTAATTCTTCTTGCATATCAACCTACATCAGCATTGTGTCATGAAAGTTTAATCATTGTAATTTATATCTGAGGAAATTATCAGTACTTTGATGGCTGAAATGTTGATGACCTTTGCTTTCCCCAAGGTGACAGAAACTAAATATCTTATGAATGGCATGAATGGCACTCGGTACTGCAAATTATCTTTATTCAGTTTTAATTGATTGCAGTAATTTTGTATGACATTTTTCTCTTCCTCTCCTCTGATTTCTGGAGTAGTTTGGGAAAACTGTTGCTAGACATACAGCAGGGTGCTAAATTTAGAAACAAAAGGTGCAAATTTTGGCTTTTAAAAAAAGGGTAATTTTGTTTTATGTAAAAAGTAGAACAATTTTTTGGTTCAGCTCATATCAGTAACCATATCTCATTTGTTATCTATTTTTCCAGAATAGTGCAAAGACAACTGTAGCTATTCTCTGGATACCTATGGGCTTAGATAACGCTAAGCAAAAGAATATAATGATTCCTTGATAGCTATTTTGATTATATTTAATTAACAGGAACACTGGATTAGTATAGCATAGGCTCAGAAATTCAGCAGAAAAGACACGAAAAAGTAAAACTGTGGCAAGACATTTCTGCATATGTTTTATGTAATATTTGGAAATTAAAACAATTGAATAAGTATTCCAATGATCAGTTCTGTTTCAATAATGCAGTTAGCTGGGTGATTGGAAATCAGATTCTGTCTCTGATTTGACAAACCTAGAGTGCATTTTAATTTAAGAAATACAAACTTTGAACTTTACATACTTGCTTTAAAGCATGCTTTCTTTCCAGATAGTTGTCCTTCCACAGCAAAACTACACTGAATAAAAATAACAATTAAAGAATGTAATGTGGATGAAACTAGTTCCATGAAACAGATTCTAAATTGTGAATAGGAATAGTTTTGATTGTCTATTATTTTATTTTAAATCTTTGATTTTAATATGAATATTATTTTGTACTTCTTTCAACCTCAGAATAAAATCTGGAAATAAGTCAATTTCTCAAGTGTTCTCAAGAATTCCTAGTGTTAGTCTCTATTTTCCAATCTAACCCTACTTTTATTTTATGTATCTATAGAGATATAAAATTAAATGCCCCTCAAAACTTTCTTATATGTATTATGAATGAAAAATAGCAAAGGAACATTTCTTTCTGCTTCCAAATGCATAAATTCAGTGTGTAGCCATCAACAGTGTGATAAGTACATGAGAGAAGTTAACAGTTGGGAACCTCAAGGTTCTGTCTTGGGTCCAGTGCTCTTCAACATCATAAATAATCTAGATGAGTGTGTAGAATGGGAACTTGTCAAATTTGCAGATGGCACCCAGCTGGGGGAAATTGCTAACACTTTGGATGATAGACTCAAGATTCAGAAGGATCTGAACAACTTGAGTTTCCCTTCCATCTTATCACTCCTTGCTCATTGTCTGATTGATTGTCTTATGGATTATGCTTGGGGTTTGATGTTAAAGATTGGTCTCCCTCTCCTTTCAGTTATAATTGAAAGTCCTTTAGATGAGCTGAGTTTGTTGTTTTCCAAACACATTCTTCCCTGTCCTGATGAGGTATATCCCATCTTTTGCCAGAAGTCCTTCCTATAGGTAATGTGAATCTTGGTCTAGAAAATCCAAAGTACTTTCAGTGGCACCATCCTTTGAGCAAGCAATTTATTTCTAGATTCCCTCACTGGGTGTTAACTATTTGTTTGCTTTTCTGCCTCGTTGCTCATAGTCCATTGAAATGGTTTTCAAGATCTTAACTATTTCATTCATTCCAACATGAAAGAGGAGAAAAGGATAATAATTGGTGGGCTTGGTTATTGTTTCATGAACCTCTCTATCACACCTTTAATATTTGCACCTGGGAGACAACATACCCCTCTAGAAAATTATCTGGTTTAAAAATGGTTAAATCTGTTCTTCTGACTCTGAGTAGTGAGTCATCTATTATCAATATATGCCTTTTGTCAGAGTTCCAAACAATGCACTAATGCAATTAAGAGTCTCAAGCCATATGGCAATAAAAATCCAATCTTTTATTAGGCACACCATATCAGCATTACTTAGGTAAAGCCAACTCTGACTTCACCCCCTTCGCGCCTTGCCTCTGACCCTGTTTCTCCCTCCCCTCAAAGTGTGTCATCCATCATATTCCCCAACGAGGTAATTTCGGGGGTTGTGGAAGTTACTCCCTCCAGACATTGCTGGTATCCATTGGAGACGGCCTTGACTTGCTCTGCCAGACTGCATTGTGTTATGACTGAGGAGTAAATTCCTTGGTGCAGCTGTGAGGCATGATTTCCCATGGCAAAATCCCATGATTTTCCTATGGCAACTTGGGAGCGGGTCAGGGAAACTTCATGAGTTGACATTCAACCTCCCTGATTTCCTGAAGGCGACTTATGCAAAGCAAAAACAATTTGAGTACAAGTGTATCATTTGTGGGTGAGATTCCCCCTCCCCAGATTTGGTTGGGTTCTTTTCATGGAATCTAACAATGAGGCAGTCAGCTTGGATGTTTCTGCTCTTTACCCAGGATGCCTCTGATAGAGGGTAGTCCCACCAGTTGATTAGGTATTGGAGTTGCCCCCTGTGCCAATCCTGAGGCTCATGGGGTGGTGGTCTCAGGGTTGACCCGACCACAGGCTTTAAGAGGCTGCTATGGAACACCAGGTGTATTCTCCCCAGTAGTTGGAGCAGCCCCAGTTGCACCATGACCAGGTTGATTATCTTTACTATGGGGAATGGCCCCAAGAACTTAGGTCCCAGCTTTTTGCTGGGAAGCTTTAGCGTTAAGTATTCTGTGGATAGGAAGACCTTTCCCCCCACTTGGAATGGCCATTGTGGGACTTGGTGTTTGTCTGCCTGTTGCTTATAGGTCTGTGCTGCCTTAGCTAGTGCTTTCTTGACATTTTCCCATGACACTTTCAGTATCAACATCCAGTCAGTCAGACTGACTGAGGAAGGGGGGGGGTCCCTTCAGTATTCCGGCATTGGAACAAAGTAACGCTTACTACCTTGAAAGGGGTTAACCCCATGCTACTGTGAACAGCATTATTGTAAGCAACCTCTGCGAATGGCAGAAGGTCAGCCCAATTAGTTGTAGTTCTGGTAGTTCACATAGCACCTCAGGTACTGTTCTACCATAGCATTCAATCTCTCTGACCTGCCCTTGGTGCTCGGATAGAACACCGAGATAAAGCCCTGGGACGATCCAATGGACTGCAAGAACTCCCTCCAGAAGTTAGCCGTGAATTGGAGACCTCTGTCTGAGATGATTCTGCGTGGTACTCCATGCAGGTGGTAGTTGTGCTTCAGGAAGAGTTTGGCTAGTTGGTGGGCTGAGGGTAGTTCGTTGCAGGGTATAAAGTGTGCCAGCTTGGAGAATTAAATCAATCACAGTCCAGATCACTGTATTCCCCCTGCTCTTTGGCAGTTCAACTATAAAATCCATTGCGATCTCCTCCCATGGTCTCATTGGCTCTGCTACCTGTTGGAACAGTCCGGGGGGGGGGGCGTCTTCCAGGCCTCTTTTTCATGGTGGCACAGATGGTGCAGCTTTTTACATAGCCATCTATGTCTTTCTTCATGCCGGGCCACTGGAATTGTCTTCTCACCGGGTGTAAAGTTTTTAGGAACCCAAAGTGACCTGCCAATTTGACATCATGGCTTCTGCGGAGGATGAAGTGTGTAGGGACTTGAGAACGTAGAGTTTTGCCCTCTTCTACGCTAGGATTTCCTTTTTTGTTGGGATGTGCTGGTTGTCACAGAACCAGGGGTCTGTTTCCAGTTTGGCTTAACATTTTGTGATTAGATCACTTGCGGGTTGGTCTTGTCAGTCGTGGTGTGGTTGGTGGGTGGTCACTTGGGCTGCGGTTTGGAGAAGTGGAATGATGGCATCTACTATCTCCTCCCGCTTGCATTTGTATTAGGGCATGTGAGAGAGGGCATAACCTTGGAAATTCAACCCCCCTGGTATGTGTTTTAACATGAAGTTGAATCTGTTGAAGCATTGAGCCCAGTGGACCTGTTTGGGCGATAGTTTCTGCAGGGTTCTTGTGGTTGGTCCAGACTTCAAATGGTTTCTCCCCCCCCCCTCCAGAAGGTGCTGCCAGTTTAGTAGTGCCCATCTTACCACAAAAGCCTCCTTTTCCCACACTGCCCACCATTTCTCCATGTCAGTGAGTTTACGGGATGTATAGGCACAGGGCTGTAGGTTCCCCTGGAAATTTCTTTGGAGTAAGATGGCTTCCGTTGCCATGTCTCTTGCATCAGCTTGGATGACAAAGGATTGTTCGGGGTCAGGAAGTTCAGTACCAGTTCTCTTGCAAATAGCTGTTTTCATATTTCAAATGCCCCTTGGCAAGTGAGGTCCCATTGGAGGGGTTGCCCAGGGCATGGCTTCATCCCTGGGTTCCGTTTTAGGAGGTCTGTCATAGGTTTGGCAATTTTTGCAAAGGAGGGGATGAATTGCCTGTAGAAGTTTGTGAATCCCAGGAAGCTTTGTAGCTGTCTATGGGTGCGAGAGGGCTGCGATTCTAGGACTGCCTGAACTTTGGCTGGGTCCATTTTTATCTCCTTGTTTGACACTCGGTAGCCTAGGTAGTCCATCCGTGAGCAGTGAAATTCTCATTATGACAGCTTGACATATAGGTTTGCTGCCAAAAGCTTTTCAAGTACCTGACGGATTAGGGGATGTGGTCCTCCATAGTCTTGGAAAAAATGAGAATGTCATTCAGTTAGATGAGGACCCCCTTGTAGAGTGCTCATGCAGCACTTCATTTATCAGTTGCATAAACACTGCCCCCTGCAGCCTGAAAGGCATGACTTTGAATTGGAAACTTCCTAGGGGGCAGTTGAAGGCAGTTTTTCATTCATCTCCATCTCTGATTCAGACTCAGTAATAAGCTTCTCTGAGGTCTAGTTTAGTGGAGACCTTTCTTTTGGCTGAGTGAGACAACATGTCTTTCATGAGGGGAGAGGGTATAAATTGTGCACACACATGCTGTTTATCGCACGAAAGTCAATGCACAATCTCAAGCCAACTCTGATTTCACCCCCTTTGCACCTTTCCTCTGACCCTGTTTCCCCTTCCCCCCAAAGTGTGTCATCTGTCACATCCCCCAATTTCATGGATTGTGGAAGTCACTCCCTCCAGGAATTGCTGGTATCCGTTGGAGATGGCCTTGACTTTGTTGGCCAGACTGTGTCATGTAATGACTGAGGAGTAAGTTCCTTGGTGCAGCTATGAGGTGTGATTTCCCATCCCCTTGCCTATGGCAACTTGGGAGTGGGTCAGGGAAGCTTCACAAGTTGATACCTTTTTACACCTTTACTTCCTGTCATTGGAATGCTTGATAAAGATTTCCCTGGGTGTCTGAATGTTTTCTTCCAGGGAGAGGGTATAAAATCGGTTTTTCAGCTTGAGGTGGGGACACAGGTTTTTTTTTTTTTTTTTGGATCTGCTGCCATTTTCATTGCACTTTCTGTTTTTAAGTAGTTTTTTTTTCTTTTTTATTGTGTTCTGTTCTGATACCGACTTCTGTCTTTACTAGAAATTCTTCATGTTCACCAGTAAGTTTCAGAATGACTGGTCTTAGAGTGGCTAGTCTCTAGACTTCCATTTTTTTTTCTAGGAATTTGATTAATTTACATTTTGTGCAAATATAATTTAAGCCCTCTATGGGCTGGAAAACAAATAATGGCACACCTGTTGCATATAATTAAACTGTTGGTCTCTTTCTTCTAGTTATTCTTCACACAAATGCTTCCAGTAAATTCAAGGTTAATTATTTTTTCTCTTGTGCCACTATTTATAATTCCACAGGAAACGGACAAACAGTGGTTTTTGTCTTGTGATTTTTCCATTGTGGATCAGTTTATAATTCCAAGAAAGGAATTACAAACTTTTATAATGAAAAGTACCCAGATCTAAATAAGTGGTCTGGTTTCAAACTAAATTATATACATTAAGACAGGGGTCCCCAACCACCGGTCCGCGGACCGGTACCGGGCCGCGGAACAACTCCTACCGGGCCGCTGGCTTGCTGGGCGCCGCCATCTTTTTTTCATGAAAAAGTGCTTCCGGTGAGCTTTTCCGGGTAGAAAGCTCACCGGAAGCACTTTTTCGTCAAAAAAAGATGGCGGCGCCCAGCTGATGCCGGTACTGGGCCGCGGCACCCAGCTGATGCCGGTACCGGGCCGCGGAGTCAAAAAGGTTGGGGATCACTGCATTAAGATACTTATTTCAATTCTCTCTCTCCAAAAACTTCTTCGAGTTCTAGATTTCCTGATATACCATATTTATCGGACTATAAGACTGAAGTTTAAGACACTCCTAGCTTTTTGGGAGGAAAACAAGAAAAAAAATCTGCCTCCCTCTCTGCCCTGCCTCCCAGCAATTTGCCTCCTTGCAGCAAACAGCAAACAGTCTTGTCAGCTTCAGCACAGCTTGATTAGCACAGGCAGCTGATTGTTGGTTGGATCAACCTCCTGATGATCAGCTGTTTCAGGCTGCAGGGATTGCCATCACCTATTGCCACCTCCGTGTGCTCCATTTTTGGCCTCCACATCCCATTTTCAGCCTCTGTGTGCCCCATTTTCAGCCTTTATGCCCCCCATTTTTGGCCCATTCCAGGTGGTGGAGATTGGAACAGGCCAAAAACCGGGCATGTGGAGGTCAAAAATGGGATGTGGAGGTCAAAAATGGGGCACGAGGAGGCAGCAGTATGTGATGGCAATGGCATGATAACATAAAAATCCAAACCTAGTAACAACTGAGTTTTAATCATATTAAACATGACAGTACACAGATTTTAAGGGGGGCGGGAATCTTGATGTCATCTGTGTATTGTTTAAACAGGAACAAATGACATGGGCATTTTTCCAAAAATGACAGTTTATATGCTTCTTTACTGACCATTAGGGCAGAGCAACATATAAACACACTGTTGAAATTATAGTGTCTGTGGTATGCCTTCACATAGGAATCTTAATATAATTTATTAAGATTTTAGCCCTGACTGAATTAATGCACCCAGCTGCTAGGGGATACTTATTGGTTTCAGCAGGTATTTAAAAACAAATTAATTAAATATATATTTACATGCATTCATTTAAATAAAAATAATTAAAACTCTTGCAGTTTTCAACATCCTGAAAAAAATAGATCAACTTTTTCCTAATCAGAAATATTTAACTGATAAGAATTAAACTTTATGGAACAATTCTAATGCAATCCTAAGATTGATTCAAAATGTAAATAAAATACAGTAACCATGAAAATAAATTCTGGCTGATCAAATAAATAATGTTATTTCGTATTCTTTATTAGCTCTAATAGATGGAAACATGAGCAGCAAAACCACTGCTGGCAAGAACAGCATTCATTCTGCCAAGATTTTATAATATATCATTTAGAAATGTAAGATGAACATGATGTCCACATAACAAATTTTAATCTGAGTTGGAAAATAATTCAGCCTCATACTTCTCTCTTCTCCTTCCTCCCACAAAGAAGTTTAAGCTTTTATCCCATTATCCATTTATGTGAATGCTATCATTTGGATCAGAGAGAATAGATGAGAAGAAAGAAAAAAGGAAGATTTATTCTCTCTCCTGTTCACTAGAATCAAAATGAATGCATGGAAAATGTACTTGTGTGAAGGATATCCTTTTGGAAAACTGCAATATTGAGAGGGCAACTCCTTTTTTTTCCTGGTGATAGAACCAGGGATCTCAGTGGATTGGAACTTTGTGAACTTTGAAAGATCTTGGAGATTTATGCAGATTCAGACAATCTGCAATTTAAAGTATGATTGTACTAATTTAAATTTGCAGAAAATGCTCTTCCCAGTTAGGAAAGGTAAAGATAAAGATACTACACAAGATTTGGGGTAAATGATCCATCTGCATAATTTCATACTCAAATTACCACAATGTGTCATTGCTATCTTCCAGGGATCCTTATCACACAATTGAAGCGATTGACCCGCAGAACTTACATGTCTTCCAAACAGTGAGAGAGATAACAGGTAATCTACATAATTGAAGCCGTTTATGCATTTGTAAGAATGAAGAAATTCTTAACATATTTTCCTTCTAGGCCATGAATTCACAAGATGGTCCTGATAAATTACAGGTAGTCCTCCATGTATAATTGTTTGCTTAACAATGGTTAGAATTAATTATGATCTCTGAAACAGCCACAATCTAAATGTGAACTTATGACTGTTGCCCTGCTGCCATGGCCATATAACAATTTGGGCACTCGGCTGTTGACTTGCAGTTATGATCAGCTGTAGCATTCTGCAGTAATGTGAATGCAGTTGGTGATGTTTTTTGCTGGTTTGTGGCAAAATCACCATTGGTTAAGATGGATTTATATTTATGATTGTATGACTCAACTTATGACCATGGTGATTCAACTTTTGTTGTAAAAATGATCGTAAGACTGTTCTGGTCATATGATGACTTGACTTATGACTGCAATGATTTACAATGGGAATTTTGGTCTCAATTGTTGTAAGTGGAGGACTACCTGTACTGGTCTTTTAGCTCAGTTCCATCCTCCATTTTTCTATTTAGAGATAATATCATATTCTAATCAATATGTATTTTTAAGTGAAATGATATACAGTATATGCTTGAGTATTATAAATCACTGGAATATAATATTGTGTGTGTGTGTGTGTGTGTGTGTGTGTGTGTATTATCAGTATTATTGTCTTCCTTAATTTCAGCGAACTTTCCTAACTGTTAGGAAACAGATTTATGAACATTTAACTTTATGAAAGACTAAACTGTACAAGTTTATCAAGTTTCACCTCACTTAAGATAACTATTTCAACATTAGATGTGGTCTTTCAATTGCATATAAAATTATTTGACAATTCCTGCCATTCACTTTTTGGTTATACTGGTCCATGAGAAGAGAAAAAAAAAATAAAGGTATTAAGGAGCTCAAATAAAATTGTCAGTGCCCAGTTGAATGTTCAGGAAATTGCTCTTTATCTTCTATGTGGCACAATAGAAATGGAAAAGTGCTGAAATATGTTTTTGGACATTTGTTAGTGTTATAAACGTGGAAATACTGCAGTTAATCCTTTGGACAATAGCTAGTTATTGAAGGACCTATGAGTATTTTCCGGGCTTTTTTTTTCTAATATCGCTTTTATTTGTACATATTTATTTAACTGACCATTGAACTATATTTCGAATTTATCCTGCCACACCAATTCTGAAGTGATTTGAAAACTCTTACTGGCAATATGGATTTATCTAGATTTTCATGATTTCTGCAATCAAACTATTCTATAGCCATATGGCAGTTTAACTTTTAATAAGAGAGATAAGTTTTTTCATAGTGGTTTACTGTGCTAGCACACCTAGTGAGCAAAGCTCTGGGTAATCACTAGATGCTAGAAATGGTGCCTCTAGATTATTCTAGTTTTGGCATTTTCTCTGGTGCTGCAAAAATAGTCCTATGACATGTTGCAAAGTATTAACTGATATTTGAAAATTAAATCCCAAATAGCAAAGGTGGTCAAATTGACTGCTCTGATTAAAGAAAAAAAATACAAATATCTATACTTTGACTTGGAAATCACTTTTGGATTTTGTTCTTGAGGTGGAAAAAGATGCAACTTGGGTTTTACCGATTTGATAGATTTGTTGTTAGAGAAATGGCTGGTTTCTATTATTACGAAAAACTAAAAAGTTGAGCGTCGATCTTAATGCCTTATTCAACTGCACCAAAGGAGTCAAAAGTCAATGCCTTTTTTTTCTTTTTCCCTTTCTTTCCCCCACTATTCACTTCCCTTTTTCCTTCCCTAATTTCCCTAATATTTGCTTTTGTATTCTCTTTGTATGTTATATTATAATCTAATAAAGCTACAATCTAAAGAATTAAATCCCAAATACACTGAACAGCACTTGGTTTTATACTAGCTGAAAATTTTGAAGTTTCTTAGAAATATCTATTGAAGTAAACAGTTAATTATCCAGAAAGATAAAAAGGCTTTGGATGGAGGGGAAAGAAAGAAATGTTTGGACTTGAAGTTATATTTGTAACAGTTCATGTTCTTAGATGGACTGAGAGAACATCTCCAGACATTAAAATTGAGATTTATAAGGTACAGGATATAGCTGCAGTTTGGGGATGTGTTATGAAAAACAATGCTGGCCAGATCAATTCTAAGGGTGGCTGAAGCGCTGTGTGATTTCTAGGGCCAAGGTTGAGAATTGAGTTTACATTTACAATTCCATCTCTAGGCTGGTATCATGCAAGGCCAAAACCTTGAGTTTCACCAGAGAATGAGAGGACCAAGGTTGTCTGTACCCTATAACCATCCCAGTCCAGATACAGAATATCCCGTTTTGTGAATTATCTCCTAACCCTGAGATAGAGGTGGGAATTCATAAAATCATAAGGCTGGAAGGGACTTTGGAGTTTTTTTAGTCAAACCTTGCCCAAAGCAGGAGTATTTATTCCATCCTGAACAAATGGTTGTCCAATCTATTCTTGAAAACCTCCAACAATGGAGCCCTCATAACTCCAGGCAGCAAGCTGTTCCATTGATTAATTGTTCTCAGTGTCAGAAAATTTCTCCTTAGTTCCAGGTTGGATCTCGCTTTAACAAGCTTCCATCCATTACTCCTTGTCCTGCCTTCAGGTGCTTTGGAAAATAAAACAATCCCCAATTCTCTGTGGTAAGTACCAGAGATGACTATCATGTCACCCTTAAACTTCTCTTTGTTACATTAAACATACTTAATTCCTTTATCATATGATTATAGTTCATCATATGATTCAGTCTTCAGACCCTCTTATCAACAAATATATGCTAAATAAATAAATGCTCTGTCTTACATATTGGCAAAAAAAATATCAGAAAATAAAATACAGGTTGAATAGTCAAGACCTTGTTGATGATCCAAACTCTGTCAAGGATCTTGGAGTATTCATCTCTAATGATTTACGTGCTAGAGCCCGTAAATTACGTACATAGCCAAAAAGGCATTAACCTAATCCTACGTAGCTTTTTCTCTGGTAATATTACACTAATAACTAGAGCATACAAAACATTTGCTAGACCAATACTCAAATACAGCTAGCTCATCAGTCTGGAACCCACCTTACGTATCTGATATTAACACAGTTGAGAAAGTCCAGAAATATTTCACAAGAAGAGTTCTCCACTCCTCTACTCGTTGCAGAATACCTTATGCCACCAGACTTGAAATTCTAGACCTAGAAAACCTAGAACTATGCCACCTTCGGTCCAATCTAAGTATAGTATACAAAGTCATACATTGCAATGTCATACCTGTCAATGAATACTTCAACTTCAACCATAACAATACAAGAGCAAATAATAGATACAACCTCAAGGTAAACCACACCAAACTTGATTGCAGGAAATACGACTTTGCAACAGAGTGGTCAATGTCTGGAATACTCTACCTGACTTTGTACTTTCTTCCCCAAACCCCAAAAACTTTAACCTTAGACTGTCTACTATTGACCTCACCCCTTTCCTAAGAGGTCTGTAGGGGGCGTGCATAAGCACACCAATTGTGCCTACCGTCCCTGTCCTATTGTTTTTTTTTATTTTTCTTATATGTATCCATGTATTCATAACTATGTTTTTACTTATACCTATTATCTTGTAAGCAATTGACAAACCAAATAAAATAAATAAAATAAATAAATCATCTTTGTTGTTGTTCTTTCACTCTTTCTAGGGTCTCAGTATCTTTTTTGCATCATGGTGGCCATAATTGGACACAATATTTCAAGCATGGTCTCATTGGTGCAATATAAAGTGATATTGTCACTTCTTGTTATCTTGATGCTGTCTGTTGACTGCATTGGATTTTCTGGCAGCTGCAATGCACTGCTGGCTCATACTTAAACAATCATCACCAGGACACCTAGATCCCTCTCATAGGTACTACTGTTGAACCAGGTCCTGCCTATCATGCAGTGGTGGGGTTCAAATAATTTAACAACCGGTTTTCTGCTCTTAATGACCGGTGGAGTGGGTGTGGCTGGGTGGTCATGTGACTGGGTGGGTGTGGCCAACTTGATTGGTCTCACCCTTAGGAAATTTCTCCTTACTCACAATAACATAGCACTCTTCCAATATTTAGAATAGAATAGAATAGAATAGAATAGAATAGAATAGAATAGAATAGAATA